CGTAATTCGAGTTACTGGAGAATAAGTGTCGAAGAAATCGTGTCCTTCGACCTGTTTATACCCTTTAGCTACTAGTCTAGCCTTGTATTTATCAATTGATCCATCTGCTTTATATTTTCTTTTTAGCACCCATTTACATCCTAGAGGTTTACATCCAGGTGGGAGATCAACCAACTCCCAAGTATGATTATGCATGATGGACTCAATTTCGCTGTTTACAGCTTCTTTCCAGAATGGAGCTTCTGGACTTGAGAATGCCTCTTGCAAAGTTCTCGGTTCATTTTCTATCATATATGATAGAAAATCAGGACCAAAAGACTTTTTCACTTTTGTCCTTTTACTGCGTCTTGGTTCATCTTGCTCAGATGTCTCAATTGCAGTTTTGTATGTTCTTTTGTTAGAACCTCTTTCTTCTCGCCTTGCCGGAAAAATATCTTCAAAGAATACTGCATTTCTGGACTCAATCGTCATTCCTTCAGTTAGATCCGAAATTTCAGATTTATGTACCAAAAAGCGATAAGCACTACTGTTTTGTGCGTATCCAATAAAGATACAGTCGACAGTTTTAGGTCCAATCCTAACTTGTTTAGGCTTAGGTATTTCTACTTTAGCCAAACACCCCCACACTTTGAGGTATTTATAAGATGGTTTTCGTCCTTTCCATAACTCATATGGAGTGATATTCGTTGTTTTATGGGGAATCTTATTAAGAATATGATTTGCTGAAAGTATAGCTTCCCCCACAAGTTTTGAGGTAGCCCTGAGCTTATAAGCATTGCATTCATCATCTCTTTAAGAGTACGATTCTTACGTTCAGCAATTCCGTTCGATTGTGGAGAGTATGGAGCCGTTGTTTGATGGATTATTCCAGACTCGACACAGAACTCCTCAAAAAGTGATACATATTCTCCACCTCTATCACTTCGAATCATTTTGATTCTAGCAGTGTGTTGGTTTTCAACCTCATTTTTATACCTTTTAAAAGCATCTAGAGCTTCGTCTTTACTTCTTAAAAGATATATTACACAGTACCTTGTACAATCATCAATGAATGTGATGAAATACTTTTTACCACCTCTTGTTTGTACAAACTTCAAATCACATATATCAGTATGAATTAACTCAAGAGGTTTCGTCGATCTTTCCACCGAGTGAAAAGGCGTTTTTGTCATCTTTGCTTCAACGCAGACTTCACACTTTTGTGAGTCTATTTTGAACTTCGGAATGAGTTCCAAGTTCACTAACTTTCTCAATGTATTGTAGTTTACATGTCCTAATCTATCATGCCATAAATTAGAACACTCAGTCAAATAGGAAGAACTCTTTTCTTTATTATCAAGATTGCGAAGTACAGTCATTACATTGAGTTTGTAGAGCCCCTTATCGAGGTATCCTCTTCCTACGAATAGTCCATTTTTGGACAATACAACTTTGCTAGATTCTATAACTAGCCTAAATCCCGCCTTGTCTAGTAGGGACCCTGACACCAGGTTTTTGCGGATGTCTGGGACATGCAGAACATCAATGAGCGTTAGCTCCTTCTCGGATGTCATCTTCAACACCACTCTTCCAAGTCCAACTATCGGAGATGTCTCGTTGTTAGCCATGAACAACTTCCTTCCGTTGATGGGAATGTAGGACGAAAACATCTCTTTGTCGGCACATATGTGTCGTGTTGCACCTGTGTCAAGCCACCACGTTTTGGGATTATCCACCATGTTAGCTTCGAAGACTACTGCGGTCAAGGACATCTCATCAAAATCCAATGGAACCGTTTGATTTGTGATTAGGTGAGCCTCCTTCTTGGGATTCCGACAATCTTTAGCAAGATGGTTCGGTTTTCCGCAGTTGTAGCAATTTCCTTTGAATTTCTTGGCTTTGGAAGTCTTCTTTTTGTTTTTGAAATTCTTCCTCTTCTTTCCCGTACTAGGTTCTGCAAGGTTGACTTTGACTTCCATTGCTTTCTTGTCGCTTTTGACTTCAGCTCGACGATTGTCTTCCTCTATCCGAAGTCTCACGATCAAGTCTTCAAGCCCCATCTCCTTGCGTTTATGCTTGAGATAGTTCTTGAAATCTTTCCACAACGGTGGCAACTTCTCAATGATAGCAGCCACTTGGAAAGAAGCCAGCGAAGTTCAATGGTGTGGATTTTAAGAGGTGGCAACAAAAGATGTTTTTCTATCTAACCACTCTTAATCTGGCTCGTTTCCTCACCGAGGAACCACCTGCGGTTTCGGATGAAGAAACCAACACAGAAAGAAAGAATGCATATGATGCATGGATTCATGGAGATTTTCTATGCAGAAACTATGTGTTAAATGGATTGGATGATGCGCTGTATAATATATACAGTCCATTCAAGAGGGCTAAGGAACTCTGGGAATCCTTAGAGAAGAAATACAAAACTAACCACTTGATAACGGGGCAATTTCGTCTTGAGGAGATTGTGTCTAACACAAGCCTC